ATAACACAACCACAGTTATCTTAACTCGTATGCTTTGTTAAATTTGGTTTAGACCTCACTGCTGTACTTAAAAGACAATGTTTTATGAAGTGTTGGGGAAGATCATTTGAAAGAGCTGGTTTGCAAGCTGCTAATTACTTCACACTAGAAGAAGTCAAAGTACAGCAAAGCTGCTCTAGGTGGAAATCTAGTTTGGTTAACTGAAGCTACTGAGACATGTAGTTCAAACAACTTTGTAAAAAATCATCAAATTGACAATGTACATGTGATACAAAAACTAGCATGCCAGCAAAAAATTACTACATTACTTGAGGCCTATACTTGTAAAGACAAGTATAGGACAAGTTAAAGGACTTATACCTTTTTAGACAGTTTGAGCAACTCGAGCACTGATCTAAAAATGGGCCTGTCATCTCACTTGTCAGTTTTCTTACATCTGACATGTACAGTCCTAACAACTAAAACAGTTGTCAACTTGCACAGTATGAAGAGCTTGAACACTGGTCTAAATAGTGGGCCTACTTTTTAACTTGTCAGAGCAGAATCTCTTGTTCATAACACACATAAACCGTCTCTCAAAGTTCTTATCCAACAGGTGGTTTTGTTTGGCTCTGTAAATGTTCACGCCAACACTGGAAACCCATTCACAAGCAGCAGGTTAACATAAGAAATATCATCCTTTTCCTTTCATGGCTCCAAATCACTTGTAGTTAGTGAACTGAACAAAAAATGGCAAACTAATTGAACTACTTGAAATACTATGCAAAAATGAACACAGATGAACTACCAAACTTCTATTTTAATTACATGTAGCTCACTACTCCCCAATACCAGTTTTACATTATATGGCCTAAGCAGATAAATAGCACCTAAAATTTCATCGTATTTAATCATGCTTTACAGCTGGAATCTTTGGGACCCAGAAATGTGTCACTTTCTGTAGCAGACTGCTGAAACTTCAAGAGGTCCAACAAGATTCTCATAAAATTGGAAAAATCATTAAATGTAGTGGTGGTCCAGTGGTTAGCACTGTCCCCTCACAAGAAGGCTCAAACTTTGTGGCCAACTAGGGCCTTTCTGTGTAGAGCTTCCATGTAACCCCCATGCCTGTGTGGGCTTTCTCTGGGTACACCTACATCCCCCAACAGTCCAGAGACATGCAAGTTTCAGTAGGTTGAGTGACAACTCTGAATTGCCTGTAGGTGTGAAAGTGAGTCTGAGAGGTTATCTGCCTTGTGACTGGTGACCCTACCTCCCCCCCCCCACAAGATAAGCAGTATAAGTAAGTGATACAATATCAAAATTATAAACCAGTGTCTAGGGGGAGTTCTACTGTCTGTTTTCTATCAGTTAGAGAAATTTAACAAGACAAAGTTTCTGGGGTCTACATATGAGACGAAAACAGCAGAACAACTGGGAAGCCAGAGAGCAGATAAACCAATAAAATGGCCAGTGTTACTGCCACAAATGCACTGTGGGACTTGACTGTGAGAGTGTGTGTAGTTCTATTTAAGGACTAGGAGCATATGCACACCAGAATCTTTGTACAGTCTAATGTTTCTACCACCATTACAAAATAAAATCATGGCACATAAGCCTCCACACTATTGTCTAGGACATGAAAACAGATTGTGGCAACAAAACTTTCCTCTCACAAAAGCAAGATGGAAATTTGGCTGAGGAAGCAAAACCCTGAAAACAAACACTAGAACCCTCCCTTTTTAATACTGTGACAATTCATTATGAACAAAAGATATCATTTCATCGTTATGTTATGAAGGGAAGCTCGATTCAAAAGAAACCTTGATATTTCAGTGTTGACTATCAATTTAATCCTGTACGTACTGGCAGACATGGTGTGTATGACTGTCAGACACTATACGGTATGACTGTATGTTGTCCTTTGTGGTTTTGGCGTCAGTAGGGAATAAATTATTCAAGCACATTCAATCAGTCACTGTGCTGGTGGTCTCTGTCACTAAGTGTATACACGTGTAGGTTATGTGTATAATCTTTAAAGGGTAAAAATGGTTGGCGTGTAAATCATCAACGTCACCTTAATGATTGCTTCCCAGACGTATAAACGTCTCACTTGCACAGTTTTATATGGTTGCATAACACATAGCGGCTAAGAACATACTGTGAGTGAAGCTTCATAAATCACAGTACAACACGAATATACCTTCTCTGCTGGTGGCCTTGTATAAACAGGGACAGCAGTTGCTCTTAATTTAGAGGGACACTTTCCTTTCTCACTCTTGTCTCTGGCTTTTTTCGTCATGTTTTTCTGCTTTACTCACAAAAGGTTAGTTTTTGCCATTTTTACTTCACTTTCTTTCATTATAATAAAGTAGGCTGGGAGATGTAGAAAGAATGCAGTATATGCATATATTCCAGGATATAAAACAATGTTTTGTGTATTAATTCCTGTTAGTATTACTGTGATACTTTTAAGTGGGGTTGGGTATACCACGTTTATGAGCAGAAGCCATTTGAACCAGATCTAATGTACCACAAACAATTTTCTGAAACACAAGTTGTAAATGCTGAAGCTCAGGGATATTTGTTATTTTTGTTTTTCACACCTGAATGAAGAAAACACTAAATAATAAATCCATTTTGAAAGGAGACCAGGAGTCGTATCGTTCTTGTGACCTCCACCATTCAGTCCCTGACTTCACATATCAAAAGTATAAACCAATCATTTGGTCATAATTTTGTCCTGCTTGGTGAATGATTTTGGCCACGGTTAGTTTCACATCTGGATGGCTGTTTTAGTGAGAAGAATTTGTACTGTAACACATAACATGAAATTGAGCTGAATTATATTGATGAATTTTGCAGCTGACTGGAAAAAACCATAAAAACAGCCTTGTTTCTGTCAGTTAGTGTGCGTACTTTTACAGAATATGGTCAGGCTCAACATTCAACCCCAGTTGCCTCAGAGAAATATTTTGGTTTGATGCCTCAAACGGTCTTAATCTGAGAAATGTTGTTTTAACCCCCAGTCAGTCTCAAATCCCTCATTGAGACATTTTGTCCTGATTTTATATCACTTTCTTCCCTTGCTTTTTTCCTCATCTTCTCATCTCTCCCACTTTATCCACTCTCCCTCCAGCGGCTGTTCTCCATCATTTTAGACTGAAGTCAAACTCGTCCTTCTACTCGTTATTATAAAATAATGAGCTGTGGATATTGAGCAGTTTCTGACCCTGAGATAACACCAAAACCTCCAGAGTCCATCTTTTTTCTCCTTTTCATAGTTTATCCCCTTTTTTTTAATTTATCATCATATTTCAGACTGATTTTTTTTTTACCTGCCTCTTCCTCTCAGCAAATAGCAGTTATCAAATATACTGCAGTATTTCACACAGCAAGGGCCCTCATTTTTAAGTCAAACACTTGTTAGCATTCTCCCACCATTTCCACCCACCCATCTACCCAAAGCTAAGTGATGGAGACCCATTTTGCAATCAAACTGTATTTACTCTGCACAGTCTTTTCATTCCCTTGTGGTGTGATTACAGTGGCTGTGGGAGGAGTGTGGCAGGATCCTTTCCTCCCCCTCCCCCCTCCTCTCCCATTCTCTCCTCAGCTATCAGAACCACCAATGGTGTCTCATCCGGCCCTGTCAGCCACCCAACACTACACTAAAAGAACAAGGAGCCTTCTCAGGCATGTAATCCTCCTGCTGGCATTAGTCTAGAAGCCTGTAGATGGCTCACTGCTCAGTCACAGATACTGTGTAAAAGTGTTGATCAAGCTGAGTTCATCTTCTCAAGTGCATGTCCATCACAGGCAGATGGTCTTTTCATCAACACCCTGACAAACAAGTACACTGAGACACTCGCACACAGAAAATCAGATATATACACACGTAGCCTGGATGAGCCTCCCAACAGTGAAAAATTGTAGGATGAGGAAATGTGTTGAAATGTTAACGTCTTTCTTTTTGTGCGGCCAGTGAGCGATACATAAAGAGAAATATTTCTCTTCATTGGAGGAGACAGTGTGCCTTTTAGGGCTGGACACGGCTGGGTTCACCAGTCTCCCTGGATAGATGGGGACACGGCAGAACAGTGGCCCTGTTGTGGACCTATAAACAGTCTGAGGCACTGACACTTCTGCCTAACACCAGCAAGTGGCAAAGAGAATTACAGCAGTGATTCACTGTTGCATCCATCATAAGCTTAGCTACAAAACTACCTTGCTGCAACTGGAGTGGGGTTTTCCTCTTACACACTGGTTTAATATAAAGTTAGATTTAAAAATACTAACAGCAACACCTATGCCCACCTGCCCTTAGGCCAGTATGATTGCACTTAAGATGTTATTTGTTTTCTTCGAGGGCATTTGGCTCATTATCAGAGCCTCCACTGACACCCCCACAAGGCTGCCCTGACTCATGTGCCCTCTTGAGGGTGACATGTATAATTATAAAATCAGTGCGCCTTTTTTTCTATTTCTTCCAGGCTGAAAGCGAGCTGTATTTTCTGCCTTGCTGGTGCTTGGCAAACCGTGTGCTGTGCACACATCAGTGTTAGAGATCTGATCCTCTACAGGCAGGGATGCCCATACAATATAGATTAGAGATGTTTGTTGGAAAGGCAGATAAGGAGGAGGCACTGTAGGAAGGAACCGGCCACTGAGAAAGGGAAGAGATGAGTCCGATTGTACTCGTTTATAGAGAGAGGGCATGAGAAGCAATATGCTTTCCTGAAAGAGGCAGTGCAATTTGTGTGTGCAGGTGTGAGTCTATAGTCGTGTGTGTGTGTGTGTGTGTATGTAGTGGTGTTTCTGTAGGAGTTTCTGCTTACATTGTGTTCAAGCCTCAAGCATTTCACACATCTTATTTTAATGTGCTATCCAGGTTAAGTAGCCTACACAGCTGGTATGTCATTATTTCCCAGAAAACATAATCAGAAAACATCCAGGTTGTTCAAATGTTTAGGAAATCTACACATCCAAATATGATTAAAAGCGTAATAACAACAACTCACCGCGGTTTGGAACAGCAAATAAAGTTTAACTCAGTATTTCCCATTCTCTTGCTCTCGCTCAGCTGCCGAAATTGCAGAGAAACTCATGTCACAGTTTCTCGGGGTTCAATAGCAACTCTGCAGAGAAAAAGAAAAAAAATCAGCTCTCCAAAAAGCACTTGTGCACACTCAGAGATCCGGGAAAAGGTAAAAGTGATCGGTGATGAAGTGTACAGCGGACAAATCCGTAGCACGGTTCTACACCCGTGACAAACTTTGACAAAACAGATGCGGTGCGCTGGGGTTGAAAGTCGGCTTATCCCAGTTTAATTTAGCGTTCCTCGAAGCAGAGGCTTTGACCTTTCTGGGGATAATGACTTTACAAAATGAAATCATCCAGCAGGAGATGTAGTCAAAAGGAGAGACGCGCAGAGGAGGAGAGAGGAGGAGGAGAGAGTCTCAAGGAGCGCAAAGGGGCTGTCGATTAGAAGATTAAAAAGGGGCGCTTGCGCATTTGTTTTAGCCAGAAACGGGGTCCAACGTCGGACAGATGCGAGGGAATGCGGCTACTGGGACGCAGACAGCCACCCCACGAAGATGGTTAGATATCCCGTTATGAATTCCACCCCAGTAACGTTTTTCCTACTTGACCCACCTACTCCGCATCGGAGGAGCACAGGAGTCAGATCCCGTAGAAGCTAGGTAGGCGCCCAGCAGCAGATAATAGGCTTGGGCGCTTCAGCTTTCCCTTGTGCCCCTCTCTCACTTAGTCACATGTGTAAGACACAACTAGCCCTCTGTAATAGCTGCCAAAGGACGGTAGACTAAGGTAGCTGACGTGGCGAGAATGATAACAAGCGTTTTGTTAACACTCTCCCTCTCCTTAAATGAAAAGCACTCGTCTACACTAATCGGAATGACACTTGCCATTAACTTTAAGCCTTAATGTTGTTCTTTTAATGCGATAGTTATTTATAAAGACACGGGAATTGGACGTAATTGAATATATCCTTCATAACTTCTTGGTTGGTGCGCTCCAAAAAGCGCCTCCAGAGAGGACGTCAACATTTAAGTCCTTACCTGTCTGAGCTGTCACATTAGTTAGAGGAGAGCGAAGGTGTTCAGCATAATGTCTAATCCTCTTTGGTTTTGTCTTGTGGAGCATGCCTATACATGAACCATGTCTCATTAAGTGGCACTGCAAAGGCAGCTCTGCAAAAATCACCATGCAGCAGAGCCTATAGCCACTGAGTGAATGAATAGATGCTGGCATTTTCATAATGACTATGACAGTACACATTATAGCAACAGGGATCAGCGCCGTTAAACTGTATGCCCATGCATCTGATTTCATTTCGGATTGCACTGATCAAGACCAGCGCTAGAGCATGTTGGATTTGAACTGGCCAGGAAGACAGATTCGGTTGTACTTTATTGGTTTTTACTCTACATGAATACTTAATATACAGTGAGGGGAAAAGAGGTTTTTATTTATTTTTTTAATTTGGCTGAATTTGGCTACATCTGAAATGGGCTGCAATTGGAACCCCTCAGTAATGTGGATGCTACATGTTCCTGGGTAAGTGAGTGATAATAGCTCAAAGTAAACCAAATGAACAATAAACACCTTTTTTTAATGTGATACTGATAAACAGTATGACTAATGTGAAGGGTGCTGCATAAGCAACACAATGTCGGTGGTGTCTGTAGCTCATTTGCTAACTCATGATTCAGCTGTGACTAAAGAAAAGAAACTAAGCTTACCCAGGAAGATCAGAAATTAATCTGTGAAAGCAATCAGGTCTTGGAATTCTACAGGCACCGCAGCCTCAGTGTGGTGCTAATTAACCCACTTCCCTGTGTATTTCAGTGTCCATTTAGTATGCTGTGCTGCACCGGAGCTGTCCCTGGTCCTGAAGTTGATTTATGTCGAGTCCCAGCAGAGATTTGTGCCAGATTCGGTGTGACAGACTCCGTTTTACATTCCTAACTGTCAGTGTCGATCAGCAAGGTGCCACAGAATGTGACAACTTGTTAGAAAAATGTCATTAATTTAACAATTTCCTTAAGCGTATTTATCCATCTGTGTGCTACCTTAGATGAACAACTGTGTTGTTCCCATCCCGATCAATCTGTCATCCTTATTAAACCCTTGCAGCTCGGTGGCTCTTATTGTTGATGGTGAGTTTAAGGATGGGGCGTTGTCCACGGTGCTGAACCACCACACTGTGTTGAGTCCCAAGGGTTGTCAAGTTTAACCTTTAGATTACATTTAACTTAAATGCTCGATTGGATAAGTGATTCAGTGTATTTGGAAGAGTGTTGCCTTTACATAACAGCAAATTACTAACCACTTTATATGATTTTGTATGACAAAGACACTTTTTCTTCCGATGGAAATGGCTCTTTGTCAGGAACAGCATCCCTTCCTTCTTGCCCATGACCCACTAAGTACTGTAATTCCATAAATTTTACTATCAACCTTTAATGACTGCCATTAACATATTAATGAGAGATGTTCATGAAATGGACCTCCATCATGTCTTGTGGAACTGGAGCAACCCGTTGGCTTTGCTGGTCCAGTGTATGAGGTGAACAAGGCTGTGTGGCTAATTTACACCTTAAGCACAGTGTCATTAGAAAACCAAGGACTGTCTGCAGAACATCACATTCATTTTGCCTCTGTTACTGTCTGGACGTGTGCAGAACATGTCCCTCCAATAGAAAGGAAGCATCTTGTGTAATATTTGGCCTCTTTTCACTATCAGTCTTCATGTTCTAATGCCAGCGTTCTGTTCAAAAAGGAGATCATGTCCATGTCAGTGGTGACTCATTCCTGTATCAGAGATGATGCATGCTTGTTTGATTTTACATTTTTGAGTGACTTCAGTACACATGAGGAATTGTGTTTTCTCTTCACTGCGAGCTCAAAGTACCAGACTGGTTGAATGTCAGGCTCCTACAAACTCTTAAAGCAATTCTTCCACAGTCACACACAAGCTGAACCCCTCTGTAATTTGACCTTAGCTGCCTCCAGTATCCCCCAAGCAGCCAGGGAGGACACTCGATTCAGATAACTCTATTTCACTGGGCCTGTGAAATGGATTTAGGCCTGTTCAACTAAGAGCCCATTCATTTTGGCTCCATTTCAATGTCTATCACTCCCCCCAGAACACCATCAGACCAATTTATAATTTTAAAAAACCTAGGATTATTTGGTGGAGGGAATGAATATACCTCATATTTCATACAGATTACCTTAAGATATCTCCTGCTGCACTACAAATTCTGTATTAGCATATAAGAAACTGGCAGCAGTATCATATCCTGTTTATTATGGTCTGTGCTTATCGCTGCAGGACAAAAAGGTTCATGAGCAAAAAAATATTTTAAACTGCTCAGAGAGAATATTTAACTTTTTGTCTCATCACAAAGCTGCTGCGTTCCTTCTCTAAGATGTCAAGCACCAGTCATTATTTTTTACTCTTTGATTTTTTACTCTTTGTTGAACACGGCTAAATATCCAGTACCTGGACCTCCCACAATATCAGTACGCAGTTATTATACTGCAAACAGCACTTTTTCTAATGGCTAAACTGATGTGCTAATGATGACCCTGATGAAAAGAGGAATTAAGCTGATACCAGAGGCAGTGTTATAAAGGTGAAATGACCTTGTTGTCAGCTTGAAGCAACAACAGTAATACTGTGATAGTGATCAGTGTTTTCATTCAAGATATTTATCATGGTATGGCAGATTCAGTGCTTAACAATGTGGCTACTAATTCAGTGGGATTGCAGGATTAATAAAACTGTGGAGGGGATGAGAAAGGTAAGCTGCTTTGTTTACCCTTCAGTAAACACAGATCACATTTGCAGTCTGATAGAGATAATGTGCTATTCTTTTGAAAAACATTGATTCAATCATACAGTGCCATAAGCACCGCAAGTGCAGAATGCTTTAGTAAAGTTCTGAGTCATAACTGAAAGTACAAATTGTGATTCCTGTCTGGGGTTAGAGAAGTATACTCATGGTGAAAAAACATTTTTGTACACATTCCTGGACAGGCTCAAGTAAACCACATCAACTACAAAGTGCTCCTAGGTTCGAGTTCCCACTGCAGCCACTCCCGTGTGGATGCTGTGATGCATTCTCCTTCAACAAAATGTGTAAAACATTAAAAGAATTTTAAAAAATAATTATGATATACAGCATGGCCTGCATTCATGTGTGTAGTTACACATCAACAGTGCAGACATTATCTGTCAGTTCTTTTCCAGAAAAAATATGGAGAATTGAAGGGCCAGATATGGATAGACATCTGTATCTAGAGTTTATTGCCATGGAGGAAGCCTATCAATGAAACCCAGTGAACAGATAGCTTCAGAATTTATCAGTAATGATATAGTGCTGTGAATGAGAAGGCTATAGCTTCTCCATTAGCCATCCATCACTGACGCTGTGTTGCAGATAAATTACTAGGCAGCAACAGGCTTGTGCTGAAAGGCTGACCTCAGTGATGAAAACAAAACCTCCCCCACGGCCATGCCGGTGTGCACAGCCCCCTCTTTTCAATACAACAGTCAGAGCTTTTCTCTGTACAAGGGAACTCATATCAACACTATTACTTGTTGATGGTGGTCTTGCATCTGTGCACTGACAGAAAAGAACAAACACACAATTTGTCTCTAGACCAGCGATGGAAAGTCCCTCTCCTTGACATCAGTGCTTGAAGGTGAAATCAAAAAACACAGGTGACATGCATCTTCACAATGCTGTACCTTGCCTGTTAAAGTGGGACCTGGTTTTATTAAACACCCTACCATTCATCATGTATTTTGCATTTGCTGTAAATGACTGCATAATATTTTGGCAATAACAACCCCCTCTTAGCGAGAAATATCCCAATTAAGTTATTAGTCCACAGTATTGATTTCAGTACATTAAACCTGAGTGTCTGCTCATAAAGGTCAACTCAATACTTACACTTTCTTTCCCACCGTAGCCCAGCTACACATGTATGTTTACTGTAAATACTATTTTGTTAATGCTTCTGCCTAAATCATCAGTTTCCAAAAATGGACATACTAAACTAATCTACAGCATTTTTTTTTTAAATTACAGAGAGACATGATATGATCTGTTGTTGCAGGTTTGGACAGGACTTGGACAGCCTTTCTTGTTTGCCTCATTACTTTGTTTTGAGGGAAATGTAAAGCTGCTCAGATTAGATTCTTTACCAAGATAATGAGGAAACAATTTTCCGCCACATATCAAAACATATCAGTAAGACGCTCACTGACACAGTCAGTTTGTTTTTCTGCAATACCAGCTCGTAGCAACTAAAGCATTAATAAAGCTTTTTATGGTTAGGGTTATACACTCACAGCACTTGATTAAAGTAAGATTGTGGTCTTCATTTAGCACAGAAAAATGCACAGTAATTAGAAGCTCGAGACATGGCATGTTTACTTCTAAACTGAACCAAAGTTGTTGTTTAAACCTAACCACATGCAGCATTGCATTTGCTATCACTACATAATTGGGAAAGTAGAATAAATGTAAGGCTTCTTAACACTGCACAACTTTATGGCTGGGGCTAGAGCAGCAGGGGAATGTCGGGTGATGGAGTGTTTTTTTTTTATTTTTTTTATCCAACCTGTGCCTCTGCTAGTGAGAGTAAACAAATGACACAAAGCTGAGTGGAAATCATAGAGATAAATTCTCAACCTGTGGTTTGTAG